TGGTGGTGTAGAGTAGATTGAACAGCTACCAGACATAGATGTGCAGAGTAGATTGAACAGCTACCAGACATGGTGGTGTAGAGTAGATTGAACAGCTACCAGACATGGCGGTGTAGAGTAGATTGAACAGCTACCAGACATAGATGTGCAGAGTAGCTTGAACAGCTACCAGACATGGTGGTGTAGAGTAGATTGAACAGCTACCAGATGTGGTGATGTAGAGTAGATTGAACAGCTACCAGATATGGTGGTGTAGAGTAGATTGAACAGCTACCAGATGTGGTGATGTAGAGTAGATTGAACAGCTACCAGACATGGTGGTGTAGAGTAGATTGAACAGCTACCAGATGTGGTGATTTAGAGTAGATTGAACAGCTACCAGACATGGTGGTGTAGAGTAGATTGAACAGCTACCAGACATATATGTGTAGATTAAATTGAACAGCTACCAGACATGGTTGTGTAGAGTAGATATATAAACAGTCAGATATAGATTGTAGAGAAGAATGAACAGCTACCAGACATGGTGGTGTAGAGAAGATTGAACAGCTACCAGACATGGTGGTGTAGAGTAGATATATAAATTGTCAGATATACTAATGTATAGTGGATATATAAACAGTCAGACATAGATTGTAGAATAGATTGAACACCTACCAGACATGGTGGTGTAGAGTAGATTGAACAGCTACCAGACCTGGTGGCGTAGAGTAGATTGAACACCTACCAGACCTGGAGGTGTAGAGTAGATTGAACAGGGACCAGACATAGGTGTGCAGAGTAGATCGAACAGCTACAAGGCATGGTGGTGTAGAATAGATTGAACAGCTACCAGACATGGTGGTGTAGAGTAGATTGAACAGCTACCAGACATAGATGTGCAGAGTAGATTGAACAGCTACCAGACATGGTGGTGTAGAGTAGATTGAACAACTACCAGACATGGTGGTGTAGAGTAGATTGAACAGCTACCAGACATAGATGTGCAGAGTAGATTGAACAGCTACAAGGCATGGTGGTGTAGAATAGATTGAACAGCTACCAGACATAGATGTGTAGAGTAGATTGAACAGCTACCAGACATGGTGGTGTAGAGTAGATTGAACAACTACCAGACATGGTGGTGTAGAGTAGATTGAACAGCTACCAGACATAGTGGTGTAGAGTAGATATATAAACTGTCAGATATACTAGTGTAGAGTAGATATATAAACTGTCAGATATACTAGTGTAGAGTAGATAAATAAACAGTAACACATAGATTGTAGAGTAGATTGAACAGCTACCAGATATGGTGGTGTAGAGTAGATTGAACAGCTACCAGGCATAGTGGTGTAGAGTAGACTGAACAGCTACCAGACATGGTTGTGTAGAGTAGATTGAACAGGTACCGGACATGATGGTGTAGAGTAGATTGAACAGCTACCAGACATGGTGGTGTTGAGTAGATTGAACAGCTTCCAGACATGGCGGTGTAGAGTAGATTGAACAGCTACCGGACATGGTGGTGTAGAGTAGATTGAACAGCTACCAAACATAGAGGTGTAGAGTAGATTGAACAGCTACCAGACATGGTGGTGTTGAGTAGATTGAACAGCTTCCAGACATGGCGGTGTAGAGTAGATTGAACAGCTACCGGACATGGTGGTGTAGAGTAGATTGAACAGCTACCAAACATAGAGGTGTAGAGTAGATTGAACAGCTCCCGGACATGGTGGTGTAGAGTAGATTGAACCGTTTCGATACATAAGAGTATGTTTCATGTACCTCTGTTGTCATAATTGGTATATATATAATTTTAATGTGAGATCATGGCCTTGTGTACAGTAAACTGAACTGAATGACATGACGTAGTTGTGTACACCAGACATAATCAGTAATGGTTAAATTCTATATTTCAGCTGAAAGTACCATCCAAGGGCATGTTCAACAATGTTACTTGAGTAGTTATTTGAATTCGATTATATACAGTCACAATGAATATTTCATTTCTTGGAAGGCCAAAGTGTATCATCACCCTCATCATCGCCTAGCTCTATTTCCAGACAAAGAAATCCTGAGGGTCCGTGCGTAGCTGATATGTTATAATAATTCTCAAGTTTGGTATGTTTTAAGAAGGTATTTATATTGACTATTTTAGTTCCCCTTTCGTTCACAATGGATTCTTCCGACATCAGCGTATGACCCTGACCTCTTTGGTGATTAACAGTTGTTGCTACGTAACACAGATCACACGATAAGTTTGTTCCTTTACCTGTTACAGGTAAGTTTACATGTCGCAGGCAAGTGTATTTGTCAAGGGCTGGTGTACATTTCATGGCCAGGTATATATGTCTAGGAAATTATTCATGTCATAGCCAATCGTTTACGTGACAGGCGGGTTTACATGTCATAGGCATGTGTATATGTTCTATACAAGTTTGTCACTGCAATGTGTGTATGTCTTGGGCAAGTTTTATATGTCATAGGTAAATTAAAATGCCATAAGTAAATGATATGACCCAAGCAGGTGTACATGACCTTGGCAAGTTTATATGTCATAGACAAGTATATATGTCCTCGGCAAATTTCTATCTTAAAAGTTTGACTTATGTTAGAAAGTACACCGTGAAGGAAGCCATCATCAGCATGTTTACGAATGTGTATGTTATTGTCGTGACAAGCTTCTATCGTGATCAACTCACTAGTGCATAACATTGGTGGGTAGTTCACAAAACTCGTTAGCTATTTAAAACAGAACCAATCTCCTGTATCTATCAGCCATTTGCTCAGTGTCCAACAAATCGCGAGCTTGTGATCGATCGACATGGTCGTGGATGTTAATATTAGAAATATGTCAAGTGTTCACGATGTTGTCATAACAACGGACAAATGTGCGGAAACATGGTTGATGGTATTATGTTTACGTATAAGGATACTCCAAACACGAGTCAGCAGTCGAAATGAAATAAACTATCGCAACATACTGTCAGACACGTGAAGATCCGGGATAAATTTGGCCTTCATCAACCCATTCTTGCCTTGAGGCGACTAACGGGATTGGGTGGTCAGGCTCGCTAACTTGGTTGATGCATGTCATCGTATCCCAATTGCGTAGATCGATGCTCCTGATGTCATTCACTGAATTGTCGGGTCCAGACTCGATTATTTACAGGCCGCCGTCATAAATGAAATAATGCTGAAATGCTAATAGACGCGATGGAAATAGAACTAAATATAAATCAATCATCAGGAAATCTTCATTTTATTCAAACATTGCTGATTGGAAGATCCGTGAACAGAAATGAGATGAGTTGAGGTGAAAAGGGGTTTAGAGTCGCGTTCAAGATCATTGCACTTATATAGCGGTGTTCATGCATGTGTACGTGTGCATGTGTGTGTACGTATGCGTGTGCGTGTGTGTGGCTGTTTGTACTGGTCCAGGCTAATGCTGAATTTATAGTGTCAGCACACTGAGATACCATGCCGCAGTTTAACATGAATACCCAACTCATACATAGTATACTGATTCCGAGCCGACCAGTCCTTGTTTAAGCCCCTTAATGTTGAACGCCATGCAGGGTAACAACAAGTACCATATTATAACGTCTTTTGGTATGAGGCGGCCGGAGATCGAACCCCCGGCTTTCCGGTCTCCGGGCAGAAGCTCTACTACTAGAGCACGGAGGCGGTCGTTAATTGAAATGAAATTAGAAACAATAATTTTAATATGTTACAGTGAGTGAGTAAGTGATTAACTTGGGTTCATCGCCGCTTTGAACAGAATTTCAGTCAGAGTACGACGTGTAAGACAGTCTCCGGCGTCTACCTCGCTGACAATAGCCACCAGAACGGGACAAACGAAGAGTCTTAATCAGGGCGAATCTGGGTTTCGAACCCACAACCATCGGAATATGGCACGACTGGACAGCTAACGTCCGCACCTTAGACGACTGGGCTAACCGTCCCCACAGGTATTTGGGTCACCTCTCTATGACACAGCGTTCACAAAGTTTAGGTGTAGTCCGTCAACCATCACTTTGGCACCCGGCGTTACACATCATGTTTCATGAAGCACACACTTACGCGACGAAAGGTGGTTATTATCGAATAATAATCATTGACCTAACTACTAGTTTTGTAATATTTCATGTCTCAATAAAAAAATTTGTTCATTGTTAATTTTGTGACCAGCGACATGACCCTGTAGTGGGGTACGGTGTAAGACGACTTGACGTCTTTAAACAATGACATAATGTGTTGACATTTAAAATATTTACAGAATAGTATTTATGTATTATTTCTAAAATGTGTGTTTGCTCACGGAACATAATCAAGCGGACTCTTCATTGTTAATACAGATCTGCATTTGACAACATAATGAAAATGTCTTCTTTAAAATTCTCAAACGCTGGCTCTGTACAAAAGATGATCTTATGTTTTAGAATATCCTCAGATTATCCTCAGCGCTTGGCCATGTAGTTATTCCCCTATAGTTACTAAGTTACATGTTACCAATATATGCATAGGATACACGTTGCCTTACTTCAGTCGTGGCAAGTACTGTCATGCGAGTGATGTGTCATGCGAGTTCGATGACAACACTACGTCAATGGCTACCTCATTTACTTTGGACCGTGTTTGACAATTATCGGATTACAGCCAGAATGACGTGAGTGGAAAACTGGCTTACACACAACTGTGTTGAAATATATACGTGCCAGCGATGGTGTACACACTGATGAGTCAGTTGATATTACTAGATATGGAAATGACTATCTTGTGTGTGAACAGTATATGTTACCACGGTACATACACACGAATGTGCTAAGATTGATAACACACATAGCGTGGTCTCTGGTGTTTCAGGGGCGGTCGGGTAGCCTAGTGCTTAAAGCGTTCGCACGTCACGCCGAAGACCCGGGTTCGATTCCCGAAATGGGTACAATGTGTGAAGCCCATTTCTGGTGTCCCCGCCGTGATATTGCTGGAATGTTGCTAAAAACGGTGTAAAACTATACTCACTCATTCACTCACTCTTGTGTTTCATGCATAGAATCGTGTCGCTGGTGATAGCGGCAGGTTGATAGGGACGAGAAATATACCTCCGTATCAACAAATTTTGTAGCGAAACATGGATACCAAACAATGAGCAATAACCGTATTCAAAGATGACGTCTTTCAAGAAAAGATTAAAGTTTAAATTTAGATATTGATCGCTTTGATTCAAAACAATATCAACACACGCGTCAGGACGTCTTCAATAGTGGGTGATATTTGCATGGGATACGGAGGGGAAGGACTTGCAATAATCTACATGATAAAAGACAAAATTGTACTTTATCTTTTGTGGCATCACTATTCAACAACTGCGTCCTGACTTGACACGATGGACGCCCTTCATGGAGTAATTCAACATTGGTCTCTCTTTGTGCTATTTATGTGATTAAAGACGGATATTTGAGATGGAAGTTATTGCTGTTTTAGTCATGAATACCTTCACATCCAGTACAACTGTGCCTCCCAAACACAAAAGGCCATCAACTGACCAGTTGAAACGTCAGTTCAAATGTAAAAAAGTGTTTCTCTCCAGGAAGCAAAATGTGAAGAATAATGATCGACAAGCAACACGCCATGTACCCAGAGTTACTTCAATATGTGTATGTTTTCAGAGAGTAAAGGTACCCGGGCCTTGTCACCCCTCTTCCGACGTGGATATTTGCGTTGTCACCACTTCATAGTCATATGACATGACCTTGACCTTGTGGCGTTTCCCCAACAACCAGTTTATTGGGTGGACCGGATAATACATCATACGAGTACGTTGAAGATTCGGGGAAACAAAGTAAGTCCAGTCAAAGTGCTATACAAGTAAGGGGTTGATTAATAACTTGTAAACACGCACGTGAACATGCATTTTTACTTTTAATCGTTCTTATCTCTATCCTAAACATATGGTACTGTTTTCGCTTGACCTTCCGTACCCGTTCGCCAGATGAGAACGGTGCCGTTTTAGCCTTCTCCCCTTCTTATCAACATGTCAATTACGTTTAAACGATCACTAACTGTTACATGTAAGTCAAAACGCCAGGGCATTCTGTCACGTGACAAGAAACATACAAACAAATGGAAGCTACAAAATAGTCGAGTGGTAGAGTCTGTCCTTCATTTTTTTTATTTCAAATGTCTGTTTTGTTACATCCAGCAGCTTGCCATGGGTAATTCGATGCGCGCGAGGAGTTGTTTGACGTGGCCGAGCACAGCAACATGCCGCGTACCTGACACATGAACCTCTCAATAATAGGCTCCTAAATCTACAGATTACAGCCAGTATTTAGGTTGCGTCGTGCCTCCAGTCATAAAGATAACGAACACTACACCTTATGCCCGTGTTTACATTGCCCGACACAAACAACATTTAGCAGATTCGCGATATTCAAGATAATATAATGATTCATGTTTTGTAACATATGCAGAACTGAATGGTTGAAACATAATTCTCTCAGGTCATATTCCTCCATAACATGACACTGCCAAGATGATAAATACTACAGCATATATCAAAATGTAGAAATAAACATAATGAGACAACCATAACAAATATTTGATTCATTCAAATTTGGTCATTTCTTCGAAAACAAAGGTTTATGAAATTAAAACAAAATCTTCAATAAGTCATTTGTTAAATGTTGTTTATTTATCAAAGATTTTGTTTCGAATATGTGTTACTGATATTTATCAAGCGCTGGAGAATAACTCACACACACTATGGCATAATGTGTAGTTATGTTTGGACTGAAAACTTTCCTCCCAAGGATTTTTGTCCGACGAAGAACCTCCCGAAGGCTCTTTACTGAATAATGTTCAAAGCGGCGTTTAACGCAACTCTCTCATTCTGTAAATATGTTGACTTGCGAAAGAAAGGTAACCATGAAATGCTACTAAGCCAATATTCAACATTTCTTACTCCCCTTGTGTAGGAATGTAAAAGAGTAAATATGTTGGATGTATAATGATATTTTACCCCCTTTCATGTGTTTAGATTCTAGACGTGTTTAAATAAAATATGCAAAACATATCTTCCGTTTAGAATTTAAACGCAACCCTAAACCCATTTATAGTAAAACATGTATGGCATAAGTCTATTACCTAAACACATTTACAGCGTATGTCTTACAAACTTCAATTTATTATTGAAATTTAGAGGGCAGAGGGGTATATGTCTGAAGGTAATACGTTTTTTACCCCTACACTGAACTATTGATCTGTTCGTTACAAATTGCCGCAGACGCTTCTCTGACAATAATAACCTCGAACCTCAAGTAAAAAGCCGGGTCCAAGGACCTTCCTACATGAGTAAACTCCTGCACCTTCTATTGAAGGTATTATGACAGATAGGGGTTCGTTCGGAAAAGGAAGGCCGCGTCGCGAACAACAGAAATTGCAGGGGTCTGTCCCACGCAGGATAAGTTTATACACGACCAGGTTCAAGATTTCACGGCGAATAAATGACCCGAATGAGAAAAGGCGTGCGCCGGAGTCTACCTCGCGGCTGTACTATTCGCACAATTTCGGCATGCTGGGCGAGTATCACTCTCCGCCGTAACTTGTCCCATATGTAATCTCGATTGATAAGCAGTCTGCACTATCACAACGACGCTCAACACAGCACATTCCTTTGAAATACAACGGGCTTTTGGCTTTTAATGCAAATTAGGAATATGTTGCCGGAGGCCTGGTCAGTAAAGGATACCAACAGGATGGACTCGGCGATTGTGCACTAAATCTAGGGTAAGAGGAGGTATGATTTGAACAATACGTATTTCGATAACTCTGGCGTTATGTATGCACATGCTTCTGTCGTTGTCGAACTAATTAAAACAGTCCGCTGATAAAAGAAGAATGCCAAATGGAATGTGAAATGTCCATTCATTGAGATGGTGGTGAACGTATACACACGTCACGTGGCACACAGCCACTGTGCGTTCGTCACTTACTCCTCTTTCTCACCGTTGATCGATTATTGATAAACACATATTGTTTATTGAATTGTCACAAAGTCATAGTAAGTCGTGCTCATTCACTGAAACATGGCTCACTCATTACTCAGACGTAAGGCAACATGTATTTGACCTTGCTACGGATATGAAGCCCCTGTTCACAGTAATGTTACCCACTGAACAATTTACATTTATTATGTCAAGCAAAGAATTATGTGTTCCTTTGCGGCATATGGTCAATCTTCATTTAAACGAAGAAAACAATATAACTAAATTATTATAGTATCATATTTTCAGTTTTTATTTTATTAATATTCACATCTTCAAGGAGGGTATTTTTTGTATTCTTGATTAATGTCTTTTATGAAAATAGTGTTCCAAACTAATTATTCTTTAAACTTGTATTTTAACGTTTTTTGGTCGTGTCAACCAATAATGACTGGAAAGTGTTTTTATATTGTATTTTATAGATTGGTTCATTTTCAATGTACGCTTTGTGACACGTTAATCAGCTATACCTTATCATTATCCTACCTTATGTCTACTTGGGTCAACTCTGCGTGTCGTTAGATCACTGATGACAGACCTTTGGTTTAAGAGTTTATCGGTGAGTACAGTGAATAAGTTGTCTAACTCAGTAATGACAGGGTTATTTCAACCGACCTCGGTCTGTGTGTTAGGTGTCCTATTCCCAGCTAACATTGCCCGAAATAGCAAACAAGATGGAAGATTGATATTGCATTTTACTTAGGGACATACGATTTTAACCAATTATAACTCTATGTGCGTGCAGGTAATGTGAGTTGCTGTTGTACTGAAACCCAATCTCAAACGCCTAGACCATGGCCCTGCTGGGGGGTTATGCAGTACTTTATCAGATGGCCGGGCTGTTCACACAGCCTCAGAAACCATGTACGGTGTTTTCAAGGGCAGTGAGCGAGTATGGTTTTACGCCACTCTGTGATACACCAGTCATATGAGTGAGGAGGACACGAATTGGTCTCACATACAGAATCCATGTGGGGAGTCGAACCCGGAGGGTCAGGGGGTTGGATGATGGGAGTGTTTGCAGTTATCCTATACTATCACTGTACAGTGCACGGATCGTTTTACCATAAATATTATCACTCCAATGTAAGATACTTAAATGTAACTAATATAGTATATTGATACATATCAACTTGGAACACGTCGATATTGATATCAGTACAGTATAGGCCATTGTTAAGGACCTCTTAAGTAAGCGAAACGACACCTACGGTACCCGTCGCAGTTAATACAATTGACCAATAAAGACTTTCATTAAACTTAAATAGTTATGTACTGCCTCGAAATATATGTTTAATGTATTGAATTATGTTCTAAGGTGTAAAGCTTCAATGGAGCTCCCCAAGAAATACAGTCACTAGATTCCGGATACATACGTTACCATAGTAAAAATGGATATAACAATGTCATTGACAGGGTGGTTAATGTGCAAATTAGAACAAAATTAGATCTCGATCGGAGGTTGCGTTAGGTGAACTTCCTTATCAGCCAATCAGCGTCGATGCTTCAAATGTTCGGTACAAGGTAGCGAAGCATTCAGTGAGTGTGTGAGTGGGTATGGTTTTACGCCGCTTTTAGCAATGTTCTAGCAATATCACGGCGGGGGACACCAAAACTGGGCTTCATACATTAAACCCATGGAACCCAGGCCTTTGGCATGACGAGCGAACGCTGAAACCGAACGTGCTATCTCCAAAACACACTAAAACGGTCAGTTTCAAACGTAAAAAATAAAGGCTGAGTCATTATATTTTTGGACACGTCCGTTCTGAGCGCCATAACATCTACACCGAAAACAGTAGAACAGTCGAAGGAACATTTGTGTTCTGTGTGGGTTTTATTTTGTGAAAATCGAAATTTCTACATCGAGGTGGTAAAGAAATGAAGTCGACTTGTTGTAGTAAGCTGAATGTGCAAAAGAAACCACGCGTCCTTCGTTTAGATTGGACGATCAAAGAATGCTCAGGGTTCGCTTCACGCGACCTTTTATGTCAGTGGGTTCAGGTGGAGTCGGTTGGGTAGATCGCAGAGAGGAATCGTATCTGAATATAAGATTTGATTTTGATGAGATTGTTTTGACAGTCTTTTATACTCCTCCTACAGTTTATCTCCATAGCATTGTGTTTGGTATTTGTCGTTTGAATACTCAGGTTGTTGACCTTATTGCAGCCACCAGGCTCTGCTGTGACCCAAGGCTGTGTGGCTGACGGCGGCACGACGACCTGGGACACTCACCATCCTGTCAACGTCATAACTTGTTGCTTCTGTCAGATGTAAGAGTGTGGTCGCCGAAAGTTGGCAAAACAGAAAAGTATACTCAAGACCAAACCAAACGTATACAGCTCCGTCTACAATCGTGTGTGAGAGAGTACATGAAGATATTGGCCTGAAGGATCACGGGCGCCAGGCAGTGTACGCAGTGCAGATCGATGGTGCATGTATAATGCATGGGCTGATACCCGAGACGCTACCACCATACTCACACTGCAGTGTTAAATCGATCCTCAGAAATCTTTAGGAAAGGAAGTCAACTGTTTTGGTATGTAATAAAACTGTTCATTGGAAGTTTTCTGAATTACATTGCTCCTTGTAGACAATGTCTGAGTGATTCATATTTGGACGTGCATCATGGGAGGAAGATTGTTTGTTGAAAACCCTGATGTCTGAACTGGGAATAATAGAAACAATACATCTGGCATCGGAACATCAGCTTTCCATGGCCCGTTGTGGTCTGGTATACTGTAGCTGAGTGGACTGTGGCGTCACATGATCTGTAACCGTACATATGGCTGTGCTAGCCATTACAACCTTGCAACACCACGTTACACAGTTTATAATAGATCAAGATTGTGATTGATCACTTTTATTGGGATTCATTTTACCTACATATTGAGATTGTGTGTAATTATTTCTTTCGTGAATATGCGGGCCTCTAACCTTGTCACATCCCGGCGCTTATGTCACCGTGTTTTTTGTTTCGTGCTCGGGGTATTCGTCGGGCTGCAGATGTACGCCGCTGTCTGGCCTTGGGGACGTAATGGGGACGGGACACGGGACTCTCCTACCCTCAACACATGGAAACTGTTGAAGGATTTAACTGTGGCCAAATTGTCGTCGTCAACACCCGCCCCTGTTCTCACCAACATTGAACTGTTGAAGGTGAACATATCCGCCAATATAAACGCCTCTCTGAATACTTTGCTCAGACTCAACTCGGAACAGCATATTCGTAATATTGAGAAATTTCCACTGCATTTTCATAACAATTCTGTTGTTATCTTGATTCAAGTTCATAAAAGACTGGAAGACCTACAAATCATGATAGAATCAATGAAATCAGTGCGATACATCAACCAGACACTCGTCGTCTTCAGTCATGACTACTATTCTCCAGAAACGTTTGAACTTGTTTTTTCTATAGATTTCTGTCCCGTACTACAACTGTTTTATCCGTACGCCATACAGTTCTTTGACAAGCAGTTCCCCGGAGATATTCCTCGTGACTGTCCGAGAGATATAGGGAAAGAAAAGGCTATGGCCACAGGTTGTTACAATGCCAATTTTCCGGACACGTATGGGCACTACAGGGAAGGGAAGTTCACCCAGATCAAACACCATTGGGTGTGGAAGCAGCATTATGTCTTGGATCGAGTCCATATTCTGAAAGACTTCAATGGAGTTTTGCTGCGTTTAGACGATGATTACTATTTGGCTGAGGACATCATTCATGTAATTAGGCTCATGAATGATGAAAAGTCCAAAATCTGTCCCTCTTGTGTCATGTACATTCTTGGCGAACACGAACAGCTCAAACCGAACTCGTACATCTCTGAAACGGGGGATGTGGTAATATCAAACTGGTTCACCGGGATTGGAAGAGGCATGGCTTTTAGAAGAGACTTCTGGGAAGCTTTTAAATCATGTGCTACGTCATTCTGTAAGTTTGATGATTATAATTGGGACTGGGCACTCGAACACAGCAAATCCACTTGTTTCAAAGATATGAAAATACTCAAACCTAAGGCTGGGCGAGTATTTCATATAGGCACCTGTCACGGCTTCCATAGAAACATCAAAGGATGCGACAGAGACCAGGTAAAAAGTAGCATACAAAAAGTATTATCCATGTACCAGAAAAATCTCTTTCCACACAAATTTAAAGCTTCTAAAAATAAAGCAAAACCAAGATCAATTCGTCAAGGTTTTGGGGGTTGGTCCGACCCGCGTGATCAGGAGCTGTGTTTAAGATTCTTTGAAAACAAAACCGATGGTGTATACATGTTAAATCAAATAAATAAAGTGATCACCACTTGATGGAACATGTTTGTCGTCAGTCAATCTCGACTAGCTAAGCGTTTCCCGAAAACCTGAACCTATATTCCATCTGCATTGAAGTTTAATGCAGGTTTGCCAGTATTGTGTTGTGTAAGTGATCGCATGAAAGAAGGCAACATTATCAGCCTTCATTAAGCGCCCTTGTGTTTAGTTGTTTAGTTCAGATAAAGCAAAAACTGAGATGGTGAATCTACGTATTCCGTTGATTGTTACTTTACAAAAGTCGGAAGATCATTTTAGCTCACGTGTCCAGAGGAGCAGGTAACAAGCCCAGACGGTCACGTAACATGTCCAGAGCAGTAGGTAACTAGTCCAAACAGTAGTTAACTTGTCCAGAGTATCGGGTAATTCGTCCAGAGTACCAGGAAACTTGTCCAGAGGAGCCGGTAACTTGTCCAGGGCAGTAGGCGACTTGTCCAGAGCAGCAGGGAACCTGTCCAGAGCAGCAGGCATCTTGTCCAGAGTAGCAAGTAACTATATAGTCCTGGGGAGCAGGTACCTTGTCCAGAGTAGCAAGTAACCAGTCCTGGGGAGCAAGTATCTTGTCCAGAGGATCGGGTAACTTGTCCAGAGCACTAGGCAACTTGTCCAGAGTAGCTGGTAGCTAGTCCAGCGTATCAGGTAAGAAGTCCTTGGGAGCAGGTAACCTGTCCACAGTATCAGGTAACTAGCACAGAGTTGCAGGTTACTAGTTCCATAGTTGCAGGTAACTTGTCCAGTGTAGCTGGTAAGAAGTTCTAGAGAAGCAGGAAATAAGTTCCAGAGTAGATCGTAACTAGCCCAGAGTAGATCGTAACTAGCCCAGAGTAGGTTGCAACTAGCTCAGAGTAGATCGTAACTAGGCCAGAATAAGAAGCAAGTACTAAGTATGACCAGCTCAGTTTTTGCTGCCTTACTAAGTGGATTAGTGAATATGATCATGAACATTTTTAACGCAAAGTATATTCATCACTTAAAGACCATTTAAAAGGGCTATATCATGTTTTATGGACCCAAGAAACTGATACTGACTGAGGCGAGCTGCCGAGATCAGACTCAGTTTCTAAGGTCTATAAAAAATGATGCTGTCCTATTTATGGTAAGAATGGTATTATTACATAATATTAACACAGCAATATATTAATTTCAGTTGCGAATTGCGTCTCTTTTTTCATTTTCGCAAGTGACTGCGAAACGCGCAGTTGAACAGCTTTCCTTGTAGATGCTGCTTCACAATAAGGCTTGCGTTACGCTCTCGCTCATTGGCTGACAACATTTCTCTCCTTTGTGTTCATAGGCTTTATCACGCAGGACAATGCCACTTTTAATCCCTGCACGGCAGGGTGGGACTCAGGGCAATACTGAGTCATAAAAAAGATCATGTGACCCTTTTTTCAACCAATGTAAATACAGATATAATATGAACTGTAATACTACCTGTGATATTGCGTGGATTCCAGCCCATAAATGAGACAGCAGATGAATTTGCGAAATGATGTCTGAATTTAAGCTTCAAACTATTTCGACTTCAGTTTTGCAGACAGTTTTGCAGACAATTCGTCATCGAAAGACACGGGAGAAAGTCATTATTACAAGACTTCATCTTAGATACTGTGGGTTAAATACTAAGCACAGTTTCATTGATAAAGAGGTCTCCTTTGTATGGACTCACTGCGATGTTAATACTCCCGAGACAGTGAAACATAGAATGTCCAGACCACATCCGATCAGAAGAAATTTAAGATGTGCAGTACATTTTCTCTAATTCTTTCTTTGAATCATACATTGTGCATTGACCAGTAAACCATTTGCCAGAAATGACTTAGTGTGTGCTTGCGGTTTTAAATATTAAATTAGGTCTCGAAGCACATTGTTGAATTATCACATTTTCATTACTCACTGAGCTCTTGTTTATACCTATTTGGTCTGTAAATGCATACCATGCCATACCATACCATACCATACCATACCATACATGATGTCAATTACTGGATTGTCTGGTCCAGACTCGATTATTTACAGACCGCCGTCATATGGTTGGAATATTGCTGAGTGCCGTGTTAAATATACCAAACCAAACCATACCATTCAGCGACGTGCGTTTTCAACACGTGTAAACAACAGCATAAAGGGAAAGAAAAATGGTCTTTTAAGGTATGTTTTCTACTGCGTTGTCATACTTGAGCATTAATTAATCACCACCCACCTTTTCGGATATGTGCTACATTCAAAATGACTGGTATGATTCACTGTTGGAAACAACAACATGAACCGACAAACGCCTGGCTCTACCATCACACAAATAGTGAAGCTGACTCGAGCAATTGGTTCCGATTTTTTGGCGTTAATTTCAACCGAGGAATCACCGCAGCATCTGGAGCATCCTCTCACGGATGACGTCAGCGAGACGTCTCCTCAGACGTTATTCAAAGATCCATGGTTCGTCATTATGTTTCGGAATTATATTTTTGAATCAGGTGTTGCTTGATTTATACTCATGTATATATATTACATCTGTTTATTTCCTGGTCCATCATCTTTTTCTGCATCTGATCTAATTTGTTAATATTTAGAATATTCAACATACTTTTTGTATTGCTACGGATTATGATCACTGCATAACTTATGAAAATCCCCAACTTGTGTAGACTGTATCAACAAATATGAAGACACAATAAAAACTGATCTCCAGTTGAAGGGGTACTAATACATTGTGTGATGTACTCTGTGTGTGATTCTATGCATCTCCATAGGCTCACACACAGGATGCATCATATCATATTCCCAGAGGGATCGGTTGACAACGAATGTATCTCGCCGACATTCATTCATGCAGATCCAGAATATATGTCCGACGTTTCACTGAGTTACTTGTTTATAACATTGCGAATAGAGCTTCATACGAAACCTGTACAATTTCCAGGTCACACTTTACAACCATACTGTATTTGAAGAGAGTATTATTTTCTTCTATGTGTATTCCATCGTTGAAAAATTAGTTAATTGTGACTTTATCAAACAAACACCGGAAAAAGGGACCACTGCCCTCTGATCACATGTATAGGACACTGTAAACTCACGACTGATATTCATGTGAATAGAACATAGAAAACATTGAAGCAAGCATGGGGCAATTACTGTTCTTGTGTTTTAACTGACGATAAAAAGATGTTTCAAAAACCAAATATCACATCTGTACATCTATGATGTTTTATTCTGATATGTTATCATTTATGAGTCTTGACAAAAGTGTTTATTTCAAATATTCTACTAATGATTGTAATGTTTTCTCCACAATCCAGACATTACAATATGAACTGAATTTAATAACTTGAAATACATTGCATAGCTAAATATTGCCATCTGTAATGTGTTAATCTTTCTACCATGGATTGGGGGCACGGGTGGCCCAGTCGTCTAAGGCGCCGCGATTCGCTGTGCAGAGTTGCGTCCCTTGGGCACGCCAGAAACCTATGATTGTGGGTTCGAATCCCGGTTCAACCCGATTATGTTTCTAGGTTTGTCAGCACCATACCCGTGCTCGTGGGTTTCACCGAAGTGGTAAACGTCTGAGACCTGCATCACTTCGGGCTTTCCTCCCACATTAAGCTGACACGCCGTGATATAACTGGAATAATGTTAAAAGCGGCGTTAAACCCAATTCACTCACTCACTCTACCATGGATTACATTGAATTTTATTCATTGTAAGAGTGGTTTGGTTTTACTTTATTGAATACAATATTAAGACTGCATTACTGGTGTAGCTAACTAAAACAAACATTAGCGTCTTTAAATAGATATTTCATGTATCATTTTAAACAAGGATATTGTTGATATACGTATTAGATAGTGGGTCTTTATAACCAAGTATTTTGGAGGAATTAAAAGTTCCTCGATGTTTTTTTTAGGTTAACAATAGCAATCATGAGGATAGTGCTTTAGCGCTATAGCCAGTGATGTAGGTAACCATTCATTCGTACATGCTATGTTCATTCAACAGAGACCGGCATGGTTAACAAAAGGTGGTATCAATTATGAATCAGCAATTTTGTTTTCTGTCATCCAAGATCGCGTAGTGAGTAGAGCATAGCTTCTGAAGAGCTCACGCGTGACTTTTTAACAGTGGACGTTTATATACTGAACCGCAAAAGAAGAGTCACCCCAAGTAACATTGCGTGAACATTACATTTCTTGCCCTATAAAAATCCATCCAGATCGGATAACATTAATTCGTCATTGAATTGCTACCACATGCCAAGATTGACAAGAAATCAGCGACACCAAGCCTGTTACGACGTAAATTGTAATAAAAAGGTAAATTGTTATACTTGCAGGAAATTGTAATAATTTTGACGTAAATTGTAATAACAACGTAAATTGTAATACAATTTGACGTAAATTGTCATACGCAAATTGTAATAAAAATTGACGTAAATTGTAATAATCTCAACTTGCGGTAAAATGTAATAACTTTTACGTAAATTGTAATAACCTTATAAGTTTAGTGTCAAAGGCGTTAAATGACTAGAACCTATCCTTGTCAGGGTTGGTACAGGGTTTATCGTACAATCGTCATTAAAGTATGGGTGTGGGGGAGGATTGAGGTCGTTATCGTACATTGTTGTATAATTATATGTATATATAAACGCATTGGAATTTCATATCTATGGTTGTCTAGAAGAGGATTAATTACTACAATGAACTTAGTTTTCATATCTATTTGAGAAATACTCTGTGTGTTTTGTACTTAATTGTAATATATCCTATTGACGATTTTCATCATAATTGTTCAAATTTAACCTAATGGAATCATATTTCAATTGGTAAAGTAGGTAGTAATATACACAATGGAATAATTATAACGTAACAAACTTACACAAATATATTGATGTGTAAATGTGGAAAGTCTGACTTTTACTGACTGAAGCAAATTTATTAATTTTGCAACTGTATATTTGTACATATTTTATGCGGGGAGGGGTTTACTAAGTTGCAAGAACTAGTCCCCAATACAATTC